CAGCAGGAGCCTCTGGAGTTCATACAGCCAGGGTACCCTCTAAGCCTTGTGTGTGAGTGCCGGCTCCCAGTCTTTTAGCCTCCGGCTCACACATTTTTTTGTCTTAGCTCAGGAAGGAGGGCTCCAAAGCCAACTGATCTATGCAGTGGCCAAATCTCTCAGTCACAACTTGAATGCCAGCAGCTCACAGAGTACAATTTTTGCTTACAACCAGTGTTCCCTCCAAGCTGAGTGAGTGTGAGCTAGCTCCCAGTTTTTTAGCCTCCGGCTCACACATTTTTGTCTTAGCTCAGGAAGGAGGGCTCTAGAGCAAACTGATTCATGCAGCGGCCAAATCGCTCACTCACAACTTTAATGCCAGTAAGCTCACAATGTAGATTTTTTGCTCACAGGACTCCACAGCTTAGAGGGAGTGTTGCAGCCAGTGTTCCCTCTAAGCTGAGTCAGTGTGAGCTAGGTTCTTTAGCCTCCAGCTCACACATTTTTGTCTTGGCTCAGGAATGACGCCTCCAGAGCAAACTAAGTTATGCAGGAGCCAAAACACTCGCTCACAACAGCCCTGTGAAGAGGGCCAGGCTGAGAGTACGTGACTGGCCAAGGCCACCCAGCCAGCTTCCACAGCACGAGTGGGAATTCGAACCTGCGTCTCCCAGCTCCTAGTCCGACCCTCTTCACCACTTCAGTGGAAGAAGAAAAGGGAGGAGTTGGTGCAGAAAGGGGTGGGATGAGTCCACTCATAAATCAAGATTATTGGCATTTACACAGCCTGGATGGTGAGGAAGGCCAGAGGATCAAACAGATCAGCAAACTGTGTAAATGAAAATTAACTGGTATCGCTGCAGCCCGATCAAACACGTTAAGAACAGCCAATTAAACTTGTAAAACAGTGGATCCTTTTTAGAGAGAATCCAAGTCTCTGCTAAAGCCTGGGTTGGCACGTGGTTTAATTTTGGATGAGTTCTGCTTCAGTATTTTCATGCTGCATTTTTATAAACATGACTTTTGAGTCTGTAATAGCAAGTCCAGGAAGACTGAAATGTCCCCTCAGTGGTTTCTGAGTGTTACGATTTCTTGTGTCTGATTTGGGTTCATCTATTCCCTGACGCAGAGACCATTGTTTGTGCAGTGCAGATAGTAGCCGGGCACTGCTGGCACATTACTGTACATATGAAATGAGTTTTTGTGCAATTGGATGAACCCTGCATGGTGCGGCTGACATTGTTAGGTCCCGTAACATTGTCTGAGTGCACACAAGGACAGAGTTGGCGTCTCGGTCTGCCGCATGGTTTGCTTCCTAATACAGCCAAGTGCTGTGTTAAAACTGCCTTTGTTCCAGAAGAACATAAGAGAAGGCAATGCTGGATCAGGCCAATGGCCCCTCCAGTCCGACACTCTGTCACACAGTGGCCAAAAATACCAGGGGCCATCAGGAGATCTAGCAGTGGGGCCAGGACACTAGAAGCCCTCCCACTGTTGCCCCTCCCCAAGCACCAAGAATACAGAGCATCACTGGCCCCAGACTGAGAGCTCTCTATACCTTGTGGCTAAGAGCCACTGATGGACCTCTGCTCCATATGCTTATCCATAAGAACATAAGAGAAGGCAATGCTGGATCAGGCCAATGGCCCCTCCAGTCCGACACTCTGTCACACAGTGGCCAAAACTACCAGGTGCCATCAGGAGGTCCAGCAGTGGGGCCAGGAGGACACTAGAAGCCCTCCCACTGTTGCCCCCACCCAAGCACCAAGAATACAGAGAGCATCCCTAGCCCCAGACTGAGAGTTCCTCTCTATACCTTGTGGCTAAGAGCCACTGATGGACCTCTGCTCCAGATGTTTATCCATAAGAACATAAGAGAAGCCAATGCTGGATCAGGCCAATGGCCCCTCCAGTCCCTCTGTGTCACACAGTGGCCAAAACTTCCAGGTACCATCAGGAGATCTAGCAGTGGCGCCAGGAGACTAGAAGCCCTCCCACTGTTGCCCCCCCCAAGCACCAAGAATACTGTGCATCCCTTGCCCCAGACTGAGAGTTCCTATCTATATCTTGTGGCTAAGAGCCACTGACAGACTTCTGATCCATATTTTTATCCAGTTCCCTCTTGAAGCCGTCCATGCTTGTAGCCACCACCAGTTCCTGTGGCAGTGAATTCCACGTGTTACTCACTCTTTGGGTGAAGGACTTCCTTTTATTCGTTCTAACCCGACCGCTCAGCAATTTCATGGAGTGCCCACGGGTTCTTGTCTTGTGAGAAAGGGAGAAAAGTCCTTCTTTCTCTACCTACTCTATCCCACGCATAATCTTATAAACCTCGATCATGTCACCCCTCAGCCGTCGTTCCAATCCCTTCTGACCCTTCACCTGGCGGATTTACAACAAGCATTTTTTTGGGATTACAGAAGTAAAGGAGCAGGTCAGGCAAGCCAGCCGAGCACCCAGGGGCAGCCTGCTCCAAGACAGACCCAGAGGAGGCAACAACAGAACCCCACGGTCAGCCAAAGCCCACAAACTTCAGTGCATCGTCAGTGACTGACAGCAGCGGTGCCGATGCTCCCCAGAGAGCCAGCTGATCCCCGTCAACAGCCGTGTGGGGGGCTGTGGTTCGGACCCAGCAAGTGGGCCCACAAAATGACACTTGAGTCTTGCCCTGGGCCTTAAGCTACACACTCAAGGCACCTTGATGGAAGAGGGTGCTTTTGGGGTCAAGAAGAAGAGAGTGGATTTATACCCCGCCCTTCACTCGGGAGTCTCAGAGTGGCTGACAAACTCCTTTCCCTTCCCCTCCCCACAGCAGACCTCCTGGGAGGTAGGCGGGGCTCAGAGAGCTCTTTCCAGAACTGTCCTTGAGAGAACAGCTTTGGCAAAACTCTGGCTTGCCCAAGGTCATCCAGCAGCTGCAAGTGGAGGCGTGGGGAATCAAACCCGGTTCTCCCAGATTAGAGTCCGCGCACTTAACCACGACACCAAACCAGCTCTCTTCTTCCCTTCTGAAAGTCCTGTTGAACACATGCTCCGGCCAGTTCTGTGCCCACAGACACCACAGGAGTATCTCACTCACTGTCTGGGAAACCAAATCCCTCCTTGCCTCACCCGAGCGTCCCTCGGCACCTTCTGTCGTGCCTCGGTACCATGTCCCAGCCCTCCTCCTCCCTTTCTCTTCGCCCTCCCTTCGTGGGGGGCTCTGACAAACCTCTGTGTTTTAACGAGGACTCCAAAGGTGATACCGCTTCTTGAGAACAAACACACGAGAAGGGTACCACTTATCCAAAGGAATGGTACAAAACCTTTATTAATCCACCCCCATCCCGTATTTTTTTTTTCCTTTTAAAAAAGCACGAAGGTATCATAGCGGCCTGCTGCGGTGTCCTCCTTTCCCAACCAAGGTGTGCTTTCTTGACAGAGGGCAGACTGTGCCAAGGGCGGGCTGGGGGGGGGGCCCTCAAATACTCTTCCGCCCCTTGCCCCTTCCTGCCTTCCTCTTCTCCTCTGACACGAGCAGCTTCCTGTCTGTCTTTGGTTCCTTTGTTCTTTTGCTAGTCTTCCCCCAAGCGCCGTCCTTTCTTACAAGCACCCCCAAGCTGGAAGGACTGGCAGATGCCTCTTCAGAGTAAAATGCGCACAGCCAGAGACAGACTCTCACCCACCTATAGAGGGTACACGTGCTCAAAGGGGAAATGAAACCCAGAAAGCGTATGCTATGCGGCCAGGTTAACAAGCAGAGACTGAAAGAGGGAGGACCGGTACGCTGCTGCGGTGTACTCTCGGGAGTTGTGGGGAAGCCCCTAACTAAGTAGCAAGAGGGAAGGCCTTGCCACGCCGACGTCCCAGGAGAAAAGCCAGCTCCAGGGAAACTTTGGAGCACGGCAGGAATAAGAGGGAGAGGGTGCTCAGCCTCTCACTGCAGTCCTGCCCTGGTCCTGGGGAAGCCGTGGCCGAGGGCCGATCCTGGTGCTGCATACTAAGTGCAGGGCAGCCCACGGGTAGCGCTCCGTTCGAAGAGGCCCGCGCTTCTGTTTCTTTGCCCGGCTTGTGCCACCTGCGCAATTTCAGGCGCCCCTCTGCCTTTCCTGTGCTCTGGCTTCCCGTCGACATGCATCCTTGTGGCCCTACTCGGTCGTGTCTACGTCCTTGCGGCCCTGTGTGGTCTGGCTTCCAAGTCTCAATAATATCCCCCCACACACACACAAATTCTTAATCATTTCTGCGGCACATTCCATGCGCAAGTGTTTGACGGTTCTTACCTCATTTGGTTCCAGAGGGCGCAGCCGGGTCGGTCTGACAGCAGAACAGCCGGACCTGAGTCCAGGAGCGCCTGGGAGACCGGCGAGGTTTTCGGGGCAGAAGCATCCGAGAATCAGTGCTCAGACAGATGTCAAAGGGAGCCCTGACTCTTGAAAAGCCACACCCTGGAAATCTCACGGGTCTCTAAGGGGCTTACTGGAATCTAGCTGTCACCTCATTTAACCAGGGCAACAAGACCGTCGGGAGCAGTGCTCCCTCTAAGCTGAGTGAGTGTGAGCCAGCTCACAGTTTTTCAGCCTCCGGCTCACACACTTCTGTCTCAGCTCGGGAAGGATGGGGCCCCAGAGCAAACTGACTGATGCAGGAGCCAAATCGCTCACGCGCAACTTTAATGCCAGTAACTCACAAAGTAGAATTTGTGCTCACCGGACTCCACAGCCTTGGTCGGGAGTAAGACTTTTCTGGGGCCCACGGAGTGTGCAGAGACCCCCATCTGACCCCCTCAATCCCTGCATGATGCTTGCCTCATTCTCATGCCTTTCCTAATCCCAGGTCTGAGTCTGCAACAAACTCCGCCCACACCCACACACTGCTTTCACAGGGGCACAACTTAGAACCAGTCATTGCTTGTGGGCCTCTGACCAGTGCTCCCTCTCAGCTCAGTTAGTGTGAGCCAGCTCACAGTTCCTTAGCCTCCAGCTCACACATTTGTTGTCTTCGCTCAGGAAGGAGGAGGGCTCCAGAGGAAACTAATTTCTGCAGCAGCCAAATGGCTCACTCACAACTTTAATGCTGGCATCTCACAAAGCGGAATTTTTGCTCACAAGACTCCACGGCTTAGAGGGAGGCACTGCCTATGACCCTACGTGCCCCTCTGCTTTTGGAATTTCACTCTCGGTATGGGGATCACTTTGGCATCTCAAGACCAAGGCATGCTGGCAGGATCCCACCACGTGACATTCCAGAAGGAGAAGCCCAGAGATGGGACGCTTGCGTTTGCAAGATACTGGTCTCAATCAACGCTCCCACTAAGCTGTGTCCTGTGAGCAAAAATTCCACTTTGTGAGCTCCTGGCATTCAAGTTGTGAGTGAGCAATTCGGCTCCTGCATCAATTAGTTTGCTCTTCTGGAGCCCTCCTTCCTGAGCTAAGACAAAAATGTGTGAGCTGGAGGCTAAAAAACTGAGCTGGCTCACATTAACTCAGCTTAGAAGGGAACACTGGTCTCAATCCATCACTTTTTAATCCTGGCCTGTATGCGAGAACGTCGGGGAGGGGGATGAAGCTTGATTTTAATAACCACCCTGTGGAGAGGATAGACGGAGAGCGACTGAGACTTCGATCATCCAGGAACGGGGACTTGAACGCAGGTCTTCACAGGCCTCACAGGAGACCCAAACCACGGGATCACACCAGTTCTCCTTTAAGGACCACTGAGAGCTTTGCTTTCAGCTAAGGCTCCCAACACAGGCCCGTCAGTTCAAAAGATCCTGGCACAGACCGGTGCCTTTCCCCCGGAAGCAGAGGCCGGGAGGGGCCCAAACCATGCCACCAGTCCTGGCTTGGGTTGCCTTAATGCTGGTGAAAGGGGCGAAAAATAAATATTGTCTAAAAAGGCCGCTGTGCTGCTAAAGTAGCCTTGTGGGTTTTCAGACAGGGGCCGGCTCAGCTGCAGACC